GGCACAGGGCAAGGACACGTCCCGCAGCATAGGGCAAGGGCACGTCTCGTCCCACAGCACAGGGCAAGGGCACGTCCCGCGGATCCCTGGCTGGCTCCCGCCTCGGTGCAGGGTGATTACACAACCGGGATTAGTTTGCGGAGATGCCCTAACGCTTCCCTAATGGTCTTAGCTGCAGCGAGCGGGACGGATTTCACAGCCGCGTGTGCGGCGGGCGGTCCTTGAGAGGGATTTCTGGATTTCTGCCTCGGCAGCTGCGGAGATGTAGCTCTGGTGCCCCGAGGGTCCCTCTGGGATGTCACCGGGCAGCAGAGGCCAAGGTGTCACGGAGCTGCTGGCAGTGAGGGCTTTCTGTGTGAGCCGCAATAGGTGTGTGCTGTTCCTCCCAGCATGCGGAGCCCCGGAGGAAGGCTGGCAGTGACAAGCTGTTAGCGAGGTCTCTCCCCTCTTTATTTTCCAGCACAGTCTGAATGAGTGCTCGACATCCCCGTGCCAAGTCCTCTTGCAGATAGAGAAGGAATTAATCTGCAGCAGGTTGCTTTCGGTGGTGGCAGGCTGGAATTAGCTTGCTGTTTCCTGCAAGCCGTAAAGATTAAGACCATCACCCCCCCACCCCCATCTCCCTCCTACAGCCTGCTACTTCCTTTGACCCTGTGAGAGCTTCTCTGGGAATTGGTCAGGATGTGCCTGCCTTTTCTCAGGCCAGACAGTGTTAGGAGCAGGAAAGCTATCCCAGTGCAGCGACGCACAGCATGAACCATGGTGTGTAGCTGTTGGTGCTGCTGGAGATGAGAAGGCTCTAAGACAGCAGGGGTGTGGCTGAGAGTGCCCTTACCTGATCTCTTCAGGGAAACTGACCACAGAAGGATAATGTTTCCTTATGAAAGGAAGAAAATAGCAGATTGCATTAAAAATGTAAAATGAAATCTGATAGACGCATTTATTTCTATTGTGATACTTAAAACGTGGCTGGGCCAGCTGCTTTTGTGCTGTGTGAAACAGGGCTGCTGGGGCTTTTGGTGTGGTTATAGGGTACAGCTGTGGGGCGGCGTCCCCATGCCACATGTGTGAGCACAGGGTGCTGCCAGACTCATTCTGATCTGGGGGGGCTCTGCAATTCAGGGGCACGGTCACAGTGAGCTGAGATACCTGTTCTCTGGAACATCTCAGCGCTGTTGGCTGGAAGAAGTGTGACAAAGTGCATTTTAAAGTCTTGGAAGGAGCATGTGTTGGCCAGACGGCCTTGTGGAGAGGAGCATCGCTGAACAGCGGAACAGCCCGAGCCTCCCGCTCGCCTGCAGAAAATCAGCTTTTGTTTTGATTTTTCTTGGCCGATATCTTGTGCTGTTTTACAAGCAGCCCTGCAGGCAGCTTCCCAAGCAGTGTAAAAATTATGCTAGGGTGTCTTCTGGTGCCGACAAACATTTCCAGAGCCTTTGGTGCTACTTGGAGCCATTTCCAGATTAGGGTGAAGGGAAAACTCATTAGGGAAGTTTCCCCTTGCCATCCCCCAGCCTTCCATTACTTATAACAGGTATTTCGAGGATGGTTGTGAAACCAGGAGGGGTTGGCAGAGCTGTAGGAAGGTGTTGTGGAGATCAGATGGGATGGAGTTGGGCTGCATCCAGATGCTGCCAGTGGTGGGTCCTGGAGGGTACAGGAGGGGAGAAGGGGTTGCAGGGGAGCAGTGTCAGTCCTGATAAGGGAGAAGAGAGAGAAGTTGAAAGCCAGGCTGGACAGGGCAACCTGTAAAAAACTGAGTAAAAGGGAGAGAGGATCCACGGGAGGGAAGGACAGCAGAGTGTCAGGAGTCCAGGTATGAAACTAGCAAATGTGTTTACAGGAAGGGAAGTGGGAGAAGGAGGAAGGGTGAGAAGGAGGAAGACGAAAAGGGATGGTGAGCCATGGGGAAGTGGGATAGAACTTACAGTTTGCCAAACAGTGGTAGAGGTGTGGAGTATTGGTTGGCCAGGAGGGCTAAAACACATGGGAACTGCAACTTGTTTGTGGGAATTGTAAATAGGAGCTGATTATCTGTGTTGAAGTCTGTATTGCATCTCTGCCTAACCTTGCCTTTGCTAGTTTGGTTAAACCCAAGAAAATAACGTTATGCAAGATGGTGATTAAGTGTAATTTTAAATCAAGCATCCATTTAAAATTGCATAGGCTGTGTCTGAATTTGGGCAAACAGTATTGGAGGGAAGCTGAAGTTAGTGCGGGCGAGGCAGCATGGGTGTTTTTGTGGCTAATTTGTCAGACTAGTTTCTAGTAAGCTTTTCAGGGCTCACCCTCTTGCTGTTGCTGGAAATACTCCTTGAAAAAAGTGAGGTCTGTTTTAAAAGGAGGTGACAGAGATCATGTGAGGTACAGTGACTGGTTGGTTGCTTGAAGTGAGAAAGCCTTTTTATAACCTTGGATTCAAGTAGTGCTTTTTTGCAAAATATCACAGCTATTCTTAGCGGTATTTCTGTGTCCGTGTGTGCGTGTTCTGTATCCCATTTATATCTCCAGAAGAAGGGATGAATGCTCTTAAGTCAGACTCCTGCAATTTGATGGGAGAAGTTAGTGAAAGATTAGGAATTAAGGGAGGACTAATACTTGGTTTTCATCAGAGGGTGTTTTTGAACTGGATTGTGACTTGCCACAGTTTAGGGGGGTGGGGTTGCTTTCTGAAAAGGGTTTGTGCTTTCAGTACCTAAAGATGTTTCTTTATTCAAAAAAGCATATTGTGATGTTTCTATGGATACAAGTATAGTGAATATTGTGCTTCTTAAATTAATGTAAAAACAACACAAAGTAGTGTGCATTTGGGAGTTTTGTGCATAACTGTTGAGAAAACTGCTGCCTTAGGCTGGGCAGAGGAGACTTGTTCCCAAGTACAATTTTGTGTTTATTTGCATGCCTCATGAGCCAAAATTCATGATGGAGATGACATTGAAGAGATCAGAGAGCAAAGCCTTCTCACAATGAATTGTGTCGTATTTATTAGGTCTTGTGGTGTTTGTTTGTTTTTTATTTTTAGGTAACTTTGCTAGTACAGAAAACAACCGAGGTCACTTTCTTGAAACTCCAGAGGAAAAAGATCTCTCAAATGAGAAATGTTATTTAGAGAGACATTTGGTATATGAAAAGGCAGAAGACCAGCCAACAGAAGATTTTGGCCAACATTCATGTCCACGTCTGGACAGGAAACGTAAACACTCTGGTGAGAGAGTGCAAAATGATGGCAGCCAAAATGAAAGCTTTGTGGATGAACTGCAGGACGAAGTTATATCAAAAGCAAAAAAGAAGAAGAACTCCAAAGGTAAGACAGCATTTTGCTTTGGTCTCTCTTAAGGAATGTCTTGTGAAAGGAACGTCCCTTTGGCTTAATGTGTTTCCATTTTTGAACTTGCTAGTTACTAATGTGAGCACTGTCATTTCACTTTAAATTATATATATGTATATATATGTATGTATATATATGTGTATATATATATGTATATATAAAAAAAACTTGGTATGTAAGGATAAAGCACTAGTCATTGGCCACTGTAGCCACAGCAGTGCAAGTTACTGTAGTGCATGTAACCCGTAATGAGCGAAGCTATAAAATGCATAGTGTGGTGGTAAAGCTGAGACTATATGCCCCGAAAGTGAAAATGTAGCTTTTGTTTTAAGTTGAGGGGGCTTTTTGATTAATTTTTAGTTATTTTTCCATTAGATGACTGGCCTGAGAGGGAAATGACAAACAATTCCTCTAACCACTTAGAAGAGCCCAATTGTAATGAGGTGACCAACCTGAAGGTGTGCATTGAATTAACAGGGCTCCATCCCAAAAAGCAGCGTCACCTGCAGCATCTTAGGGAACTATGGGAGCAGCAGGTGTCACCAGAGAGATCCCCGTCCGGCAAGTTGGGCCGGCAAAGCAGGAAAGATTTAGCTGAGGCTGTTCAGCCAGAGGCCACTGCAAAGGTCAAAGACTTCACAGAAGAAAGGCACACCAAGAAAAGGTCAGAGGCCAAAAGCAATAGAAGTTGGTCTGAAGAGTCCCTCAAAACAAGTGACAATGAACAAGGTATGCAGAGACTACTAGGGAAACCAGCTGGCTTTAGCATGTACAGTGACGCATGCTGCCACCGATGTTAAGGAATTGTCGAGAGTTTTTTTTCTTCTTTGTTTTTTTTTTTTTAACTATATCTATTTCTGTAGATGTCCATTTTTATAAGGACTGACACCTCCTCTTTAAGAATTGCACTGTCAGACAAGAAAACGTGTTTGTGTATGTGTGTGTAACTATGTGTTTGTGTGTGTGTGTGCGTGCGCGTGTGTGTTTTGGCTCTAAATATTTTCGTAGATGATGCGAAGATGAAGTTTATCTCTAGAGGAGAGATGGGGAGGGCATAAAATGCGGGCATGCTTTTTGGGTGAGAGGGGGAGCAAATGGACTGCTAGTTTGCGTAAGGGTGTTTAACCACACGTAGGGTTTGAGGGGTGGTGAGCTTCTAAAACAGCATCAGCACCGCTATAGCAGCTCTGGATCTCGGGAACCCAACACCTCCAGCACCCTCAGCACTGCTGGTTTCCCCTGCCTTTCCCAGGCCATGTGCTCCAGAGCAAAGCTCATCCTCCTCCTGACAAAGATGCTTTGCTGGTTCATCCTGTGCATGTCCTGTAAACCCCTTGCACCCCACTTCCCGGCCCCTTGGAAGAGGTCTTCCAGCATGTCTCTGCTAAGGGGTTGCTTCCTAAAAGCATATCAGCTTTCCTTGACTTGTTTTTGGCTTTTTCTTTACCTCTCACTCAACTTCCTCCTTTCCCTATCCTCCCTCCCATTTCTGTCCATACCCTATCCTGGGGGAAAGCCTGTGGATACAATCTGCCAAATTTTCATTGGGATGGGCAGGTCACTCTCCTGTCCTCACTGTCCTCAGCCCCTGGGCACATTTTCTGCTCTGATGTTTTTCTCCTTCACTGCAGCACTGTGCTGCTGTAGCTTGGCTGAAGAGCTGATGGGGAATGGAATCACACAGTGCACAGGGCAAATCCCCTTTTCTCTTCTTTCTCTTTTCCTGCTCTTACCTCTTCAAGTCCTCTGCTTGTTTTTGAGGAAAGACTGTTTCTGGGAGCGGGACTTGCCTGAAATGGCATTTGGGCTCCTTCCTCCTTCACAAACCTGGGATCTTCATTGACTGGAAGACGTTCACATTCCAGCTGGCCTAACTTATAGGTTAGCTGAGATCCCCTTGAAAGAGAGAAGCATGAGGAGAATGGATCCTCTTGTGTCATGCCATGGAAAGGACTGTGTCCAGATCATCCTGTGCCAGTGAAGATTTTCCTTGGTAGTGTCTCTGAAACAGTCACAGGCAAAAGTATCAGCTTCCCTTCGGTCCTAAAGCTTCTCATCTGTCCTTCTCCTTGGTAGGATTGTCTGAGGGCAGAAAACCTCAAACTTTGATGCTTACTGATGGGGAAGGATCTATCCAAAAGGATTTGTGCAGTAGGAGAGCAAAACTTGACTTAACAAACCAAGGACAAAAAGGAGCTTTTACTCTTACTTCCTTGCTTTATGTGCTGCCTTGGTGAGGATGGTGTCAGCTCAAACACCTCTGCCCCTCACCTTAGTCCTTTCAGAGAGAGATACCTTGTAGAGATCAAACGAGGGTCACTAACAAGAAGCTGTATTGTGTAAGGATGCTCTCACTTTCCCCTGGAATGCCTCCTGTGGCAGTGACGAACTTATGGCCTTGGGAAAGAAAAAGAGGAGTGTCCCAGTTTATGCACCATTCCCAAAGGCATTCAGATTCAGTTGCCCTATGACTATGAAAAACCTCTTGGGTTTGGAAGCTGCTGTAAAACCATTAACTTGACTAAATTGTGCCTTGCTGTTCATTGTACAAAGACAGTGGATATCATTCAGATAATTTTGCTGGTGCTTCTCCAGCCCTGTTGAAGTGTAAACTTCTGAATCTCCTCATTCTTAGTTGACTGGGATGAGGACATTTTCCCCCATTGTGTGACAGAGCATCCTCTGCATGACAGTCTCATGGAGACAGAGACTTGCAGCTTGTCTGTCTTGCTCAGGACCGGTCCTCAAAGTTTTCTTAAACAGGCAAAGACTGTCCATATGAGAATATACACTGTCACTTGCAGCATTTTTTTTAGTTTGGGGCTGGGAGCAGCTGTTCTCTGTGCTCAAGCACTGCCTGGAGTTGTGGCAGTCTCTGCTGCTGGGCAGCTGCTTGTATCCCAAGGAGCAGGCTGTAACAGGACAGGAGCATTGCCTCTGTGCTTCTGAAGCCTCAGTCTAACATTAGCAGGATGATTTGCCACTCCTGCCTTCAACTCTCTGGCAATGTGGAGGTTTCTGACTTCTGGGCTTGTTACTCCAGCTGTGATTTATGCAGAGCAGTGTGGGCAGCAGGTTGGGGGAGGTGATTTTGTCTCTGCTCTGCTCCTGTGAGACCTTGCCTGCAGTGCTGTGTCCAGTTGTTGGGCCCCCAGCATGGGAAACATGGGCCTGCTGGAGCAAGTCCGGAGGAGGCTGCAAAGATAATCAGTGGGTTGGATCAGCTCTGCTGTGAAGACAGGCTGAGGAGGTTGGGGTTGTTCAGCCCAGAGAAGAGAAGGCTCTGGAGAGGCATTATAGCACCTTCAATACCTAAAAGAGGGCTCTAAGAGAGGTGGCGAGGGACTTTTGACAAGGACATAAAGAGATAGGACAAGTGGTAACAGATTTAAGAGGGTGTAGGCTTAGATTAGGTTATTTGGAAGGAATTCTTGACTGTGAGAGTGGTGAGGCACTGAAATAGGCTTCACAGAGAAATTGTGGCTGCCACATCTATGGACGTGTTCAGGGCCAGGCTGGATGGGGCTCTTAGCAGCCTGGTCTAGTGGAATGTGTCCCTGCCAATGGCATGGGGCTGGAGCTGGATGATCTTTAAGGGATGATCTCCCTTCCAACCCCAAACCATTCTGTGATGCTGTTGCAAAGCGACGTGTCCGTGCTGGGTCTCTGGGGTGCAGCAGGTCCATGAGCGTGGGGATACTGCTGCTTTAGGGCATCCCACTGCTTGCCCAGCCCATGGCAAGGCAGAAGCCACGGGCTGTGCTGGAGTCCCAGCTGAGCAATGCTGCTGTACTGCTGGCCGTGCAGCGCCAGCTCTCTGCTGCTGCCCCGGGGAGCCGCAGCCGCTCACCCGCTGCCAGGAGAAAGCTGGAGCAGCGCGGAAACAAAAGCCCTGAGGAGGGGAGCTGGAGGATTTCACCCACCGGGAAGCATGTGCCAGCCCCTGGGAGCTGCCTGGGGCTGCAGGCAGCGTGGCAGCCATGGGCTTGGCAGGCAGGAGGAGGCAGCTGCCGGCGGGGAGCTGAACAAGCGAGCATTCAGGTGCCGCGGCAGCAGCTGCTTTTCCGCACGGACCTCGCAGCAGCCGCTCCTGCGGGAAAGGAGACAGGTCCTGCTCTGAGTCAGACTTGCCACAACCCACATCAGTCAGAGGCCTGAGCTTTTTGGGGTTTTTGGTTTGGGTTTTCTTTTTTTCCCCCCACCGTGAATATTTAGGTATATTCCTGCTCACTCTTGTTATATTTCTCTCTTCACGTGGTCAGGAAGATGGGGTGGGATTCCAGAATCAATCGCTTGCTGCTTTTCTGGCCCCTTGTCTTGCATTTCCCAGGCTGATGCTTGGCTTTTTCTGTGTAGTGCTGGCATATTGCAATGTTATTGATCCTGAAGCTCCTGGGCTCACAGCATAGCTGCTCTCCATCTCTCAGCTCCGGTGCACATTTAGCCTGGTGCCTGCTGTCACCACTGTGGAGGGTCAAAGGGAAGCACAGATTTGATGTGGAGTTTGCACACAGGAGTATGCATTTTCTGTGGTGATTAAACTTCTGCTTTCAATGCCTTGGCATCTCTGCATGGGAAAGCCTGCAGTTCTTTGAGATAAGCTTCCTGTGTTTTTTTTTTTTCCTTCATCCTTTCAGTATTTCTGTCCTTCTCCAGACCTGTGAGTTTTTAATTCTATTGCAGTTTTTCTGCATGCAGCTGTTTGTTCCATTTGCACTCACCAGAGCTCCTTGCTGTTGCTTTCCATCTTTTCCATCTTTTTTTTTTCTTTAGAAGTGATTAAGTAGGTAATGATGGTACTTCTGTATTGGAATTGGGCTTTTCACACGCTACTCAATTAAGTTAGTTGGGAACATGAGAATTAAACATTTTCCTTACTTTGTGCTATCTACAGGGTTGGAAAGACAGCCTTGCCATCCATAGGCTCAGCCTATGACTAGGTGCCATCTTTCAGTATTGCAAAGCCTGAAAAACTTGCATGATTTTTGCTGAATAATCTGCACATCATGTGTCCCATAAATTCCCTGACATCTGCTTGGCAAACCGTGGTATGTGCCTTTTTCTAGAAAGTGGCTCAAAAGAACTGAGGGATTTCTGTTTTCATCCTTAATCTAGAAAGCCTTCTGTGAGTTGCTTTCACAGATCTATTTAAAGGAAGACTAAAGTGTGAAACTGCCCACCAAGAGGATTCTGGATTTTATTTTCTTTTTTACCAACTGCTTCCAGACCGAATTTCTTTAAAATAAGAGTGTCTCTCCTCTGAGCATCTGCTTATTTGCTCCTGCCATCTCTTCTATTCTGAAAGTAGCATCACTTCAGAGACTTCTCAGAGCAAGGGAGCTTCTTTCAAGTTCTCAAAGTTTTTTCCACACCTTCCCTTGGCAGTGTGGTATTGTTTGGCTGAAGTGTCCCTTCCTTTCTAGCAACCTTTAATTTTTCTGCAAAGAAGTTGGTTCTGAGGTCACCACAATTCTTTTCCCAAGGGAAATTCAGACTATAAAAAGTCAACTTTCCTGTCCTTGTTTTGTTGTAAGCTTGCTTGCACTCAAAAAAAAAAAAAAAGAAACCCAAAACTAACCATGCTTTTTGCATGTGGCCCAGATTGTGGGATCCAGCTTGTTGGAGCTAACCCCCAGAGAAAACCCAGCCCTGCCAGTATCCTGCCACAGGGAGCAGAGTACTGGCCTTACTGTCCCAGTGTCCCAGAAAGACTCACTTCTGAATGCTGTTCTTGGGGGAAAAAAACATCTGATTTCTTTTCCTGCAAAATCCCTATGCTTTCTGATGGAGAGCTTGCACAGAGCTTCTGTAGGGATGGCTCCTTGAGTAGTCTTTCTTCTCTTGGCTTGTTTTGGAAGTTAAAATGCTGCCAAGGAGGTGTTCCTTGTCTTAGGGCCATCTTGGGACTAAGCTCAACATTCCCACCTCTCCCAAAACTTCACTTCCATGACGCAAAACCATCCCATTAAAATCTGATCCATGCTCCCACCTTTGTTCCTGTCCCATCTTCCCTCTCCATCCCTGTGTCTGCACTTACACCCCACTGAGACAAGCTGGGCTGGGCCCAGGCTGCTGGAGGAGTTGGTTCCCCTTCAGATCAGGCAGTCCTAGGTAAGGAGGCGAGTTTTTCCCTGCAGCTGTTCCACTCTGCCCGTGGTTCCTGGGCTGTGGCACTGCCAAGCTGGCCTGGCACGCATCCCCACGGCCCTGGCACTGCCCGGCACCTGCGTGGGGCTTTTCATTCAGGGATTTTTATTAGAGCCCGATAACCGCTAGCGTGGCGTCAACGGGCGAGATGCTATTTACAGTTTGGATGTGGAACGCTTAAAATATTAACCATTTGAAAATGTAATTGTAGATCTCTTAAGCAGTGAGGAGCTTGTGTTAAGTGCTAGCAATGCATTTTCCTTTTAGTGCACCGTGCGATGTGTAATGCCTTTCCTTCCCATTTAGGCTTGCCCGTATTCCCGGTGTCTCCGCACATGAAGAGCCTTTCATCCACCAATGCAAACAGCAAAAGGCAGGCTCAGCCAAGCTGTACTCCAGCCTCGAGGTTGGCTGCCAAACAGCAGAAAATTAAAGAAAGCCGGAAGACAGATGGGCTGTACGCAGACGAAGAGGAGGATTTCCAACATGCATCTCTGATGCCGAAATACAGCGAGTGTGAGAAGCCATCAGGGAAACGTCAGTGTAAAACAAAACACTTGGCACTGCAGGAGAGGAGAAGGAGGTCATCTCTGACAGGGGATGACACCACAGATATCGAAAATGCTGAAGATAAGGTATCTTTATTTAGACTTAATTGTCCACCAGCCTCTGAGAAGGCAGAGCCGGCTTGCTTAAAACTAACGCACTGTCGTGCATGCAGGGTAGCGGGGATTGCGTTCAGATTTGTCTGTGGGTGCTTTGCACATTTTGTGTTTGCTTTTCTTAACCTTAGTTGAAGGCACTGTTTCGGGGTGAAGCATCTTGTGTTTACAAGCTGTAGCGGGACTTCCTTTAAAAATTAAATATGAGAGGAAAAGTGTAATTCCTTGCTGACAAAATACAGTCCCGTCACTTCACTGTGCAAAGATAAAACCCCCCCACCATCACGGTTTTGACAGGTAACGAGGAAAGTCAGGAAGCGACCGGAGCCGGCTTCAGACTGCGACTCCTCGCCGGCCAAGGCGCTGGAGCAGAAGCCGTACGAGCGCCTGCCGCTGCCGCCCGCGCCGCCGCCGCTGGCCCTGGCCAGCCCCCCGCCCGACAGCACCCCCGGCCGGCCCATGCCGCCCGAGGCGCGGCGCCTGATCGTCAACAAGAACGCGGGGGAGACGCTGCTGCAGCGGGCGGCGCGCCTGGGATACGAGGTGAGGCTCCCCCGGCGCCCCGCGGGATGGTGGTTTCCTTTTCGTTTCAAAAGTTGAAGTCCTCTTCCCCGATCTCCAGGTGGGAATTCTGTGAAGTACAGCAGCGTTCGGTTGGGTTGCTGAAAGTTGTAGCTCCCATTGCCCTGCTGCGCTCCCTTTCCTGGTGTGTGGGGTTTGGAGGCAGGTTGCTGTGGGAATGACTCCCCGCACTGCAGGGATGCAGGGTGAGCAGCATCCCACGGGAATGAGCAAAGGGTAAAGTTTTATTGGTAACCCTCACTTCCCTTTAGATATAAACCATCTGCAAACAGAATGAATGTCTTTTTTTTTTCTTTTTTCCTCCCAAGTAATCTTTGTGGTGATCTTTAATAAGCTGTATGTTTTCTGCTTTTGTTGTTTGTGAAGAGGGTGTAGTTTAGGAGCAGGGTTTTAGTTTTGTTCTTCTCTCCAAGGAGTATCTGGTATGTGACACAGGATGTAGCGCTTAGAGTGTCCTCCTGCATGATCAGACACATCATAGGAGCACTCTGCATGCTTTATACTCGGCGTCTGGAGCTGCTTGGTGTAGCTGGAACAATGTTGTCTAATGAAAGGGGCCCCCTGTTGCTACAAAAATCAGAAACCGATGAATCCCTTGGCTCGGCCGTTTTGAAGCACGCTTTTATTGGGGAAATATGGGCATGTAGGTATGAGCGTCGTTGCTGCTCAGTTTCAGATCTGCTGCAGAGGTGTTTCATTGCAGAGAGTGCCTGCTGCCCTCGGCATGGTTGCAGGGCTTGCTGTGCTGCTGGGAGGGCTGCTTGGACCTTGGGGCTGAGCCCCACGTGGGAAGGTGGCATCAGCCCGGGTCTGGGTGAGGCCTGCCCAGCCTTGGGGATTTGCTGAAACCTTGAAATGGCCTTTGTATAGCTGGAGAGAGCTTTGTGTGGAGCAAGACCTTGTCCAGCTCTGGAAGGCAGCGTTTATTGGAAAGGTTTTGTTTACCTTAGACAAAGACTTCTTCTAACCCAGGGCACTTCAGCTGTAGCTGGGAGAGGTGGTTGTTACAGCACTTTAATGGAATTCTCCATAATTTAAATGGTTTAATTTTCTGTGGGTCCAAAATAAAAATGTTCTGTAGCACGTGCTCCAAGCTATCGGTGTGTCTTTTCTTCCTGCTTGGGGTTTGTCAGGGTGAGTATGCTTGAGCACTTGGCTTTCTGTGCCCAGCACCTCTACTGAGCACAGCTCAATGGGAGCAGCCCCCAAGCTTAGTGATGGGCTGACATCCTGCTCCAGCAGGGGCCCAGGGCTCTGCATTTGCTTTGGCAGCAGGAGCTCTCTGCTATCAAATTGCCTGCCTGCAGAAAGCTGGGGATACCCAGGCTTGCCAAGGTGTGGGTAACATTGTGTGCCACCATGCCTTCCCATTATCAGCTGGTTGGGGATTTTCATTTTCTGACTGGAATTCCCTCAAAAGTTCAACTTGAACAACGTGTTTTTAAGAGGCTTAAATATTCAGCTCATTTGATTTGATTATTCAGGTGGTGTTGACCATGCAGCAGCTGGTTCTGTTGCTGGTGGAATGCAGGGCAGGGAAAGAGCCTGGTCCATGCACCCAGACTGCTGCCAGAATCTGATGTTGTCTGTGTTTTTTTGCCACCCTGTTGGACCTATGTTTGGCCCATGGTGAGCTGTGATACTTTTATCATCCATGGACGCTCCATAGCTGAGGGATTTTTCTTGATAATAGAAAGTTGAATTGAACTTCCTTTGTCTGCACAAAAAAAAAAATTGGTGAAAAATTTAAAAATTCCTCTATTTAAAAAAAAAAAAAAAAAAAAAAATCTGGATGAGTCAGGGTAATATGCTGGTGTGTGACCTGTGGCAAGTACACAGGTCAGTTTTCTGCCATCCCTGTTAGCAGGGCAACAACCTCTGGTGGGCGCGGGGGTTTCCCTGGCTGCTGCCATGGCAGCCCTTTGCCAGCTCAGTGGCAGGGGAGGCAGGGGTTTGCATCATCAGGGCCACAGCTTGCAGAGGGAGCCGAGTGCTGATTCAGGACTCGGAGCTGGAAGCAGCTGGCACCGCAGGGCACCACCGAGCCCTGGCAGGAATGCTGTATTGCCCTGAGACCGGATGAGCTCGTGCCTGCCCTTGGCAGCCTGCCTGCCTGTGCAGCAGGGATGCCCTGAGGCTGTGCAGAGATCCCACTCCAAACCCTTCAGCACGCAGAGGTGCTGGCAGGCTGTGTGTGTGTGTCACTCCTGGACCCAAGGGGAGCCCAGTGCTGGAGGCCATGAGCCCCTGTGCTGCTCCCAGTGCCGCAGGCAGCAGGACACGAGCGGGATACGGTTTTGTGTGCAAAGCTGGCCCGAGTGTGAAATATCGAAGGAGAAGTGTGGCTTGTGTCTGGTCAGATAAATTGCAGGGCTGCAGCCAGCAAGGCTACTTAAAGACAGTGCAGCAAATGGTCCTCGGCCCTAGAAATCCCTGATGAAGCTGGTGGGAAGCTTTGTCTTTCCCTTCCTAGGCTTCTGCTTCAGCAGGATGTTACCAGCTCATCCCAATGTATGGCCACTCTCGAATCCATTCTGTTTTCCCCATTTGAAACAAATGACTTGAGATAATGGTAGTCTTAAAACTGTAATTTACTTTTTGTGAAGAGGGAATTACAGGGAGCGTAGAGTCTTTTTGGGAAAAAAATTACAAAAGGCTTGTGTAATGAATTTGATGTGAGAGGAAACACTGGCTGTCTTTCTGCCTCACATTGCTTTTTTGGTGTGTGTCTGGATTTGCTGGGTTTGGCTGGGGTAGGGTTAACTTTCTTCCCAGTGGCTGGTATGGAGCAGTGTTTTGGATTTGTGCTGAACGCAGTGATGATAATATAGGGATGTTTTTGTTACTGCTGAGCAGGGCTTACACAGAACCAAGGCCTTTTCTGCTTTTCCTGCTGCCACGCTGGTGAGGACAGTGGTGTGCATGGGAGGCTGGGAGGAGACACAGCCAGGACAGGTGACCCAGACTGACCAGAGGGACATTCCCCAGACCATGTGGCATCATGGATCAGAGTGTAAAGTTGGGGGAGGAGGAGGGGGATGTTTGGAGTGATGTTTGTCTCCCCAAGTGACCAATGAGTGGGATGGGGCCCTGCTCTCCTGGAGATGGCTGAACACCTGCCCAACCTTGGGAAGCAGTGAATGGATTCCTTGTTTTGCTTTGCTTGTGTGCATGGCTTTTGCTTTCCTATTAAGCTGTCTTTATCCCAATCCATGAGTTTTCCACCTCTGACCTTTGTGCTTCTTTGATTCTCACCCTGGTCCTGCTGGTGGGGGAAGTGAGTTGGCTGCCTGGGGCTTGGCTGCGGGCTGGGGTGAAACCATGACAGTGGACTGGGAAAACTCCATCAGTTTGTTACTAAATCCTTCCTGGGAAGGCAGTGAAATCAGTGAAGTGTGTGGTGTGTGGTAGGGCGTTTAAACACACGTGAAGGCAGGGTTTATCCAGGCACGGGGAGTTTCCAGTGTCACTGCCACAGGAGCAGGAGCTCCAGAGCACCATCCTGCCCCTGCACAGCTCCTGCAGGGCTCCTGCATCCTGCTCAGGAGTGGACACCACTCCAGGGCTTTGGTATGATGCTGGGGGGAAGTGTTAAGGCTCAGCATATAATGCCTGATCCAAGGGCTGTGTCTCGAGGTTGGATGTGGAGGAATAGTGCTTCTTGGAGCCTGGGGGATGCTGAGCTCTTCCCCTGGAGGAGGAGTATATAGGAAGGGCAGCTCCTTGCATATGAGGATGGACCATGCATATGTGCATACTTTGACATTACTGTTTGCAGTTTGGATAAGAAACTGCAAGAAGCAGAGGCGGAGGTGTCTGGTTATATTCTAGTTTGACTCTTTGGATTAACTGTGAGTGATTTTCAGAATGCTGGTTTAAATAGAGCACCTGAACAGACATTAAATTGCCCTGTGGCACTCTCACAGCCTTCCCCAAACCTTAGCGAGAAATGCTTGTGAAACCAAAAGTGTGTTTGTGGCACCACATGTTCCTGTATTTGGCAATGGTGGCTAATTTTTTTGTAAATTGAATAAATCATGTTAAAAAAAAAGTTAATGAGGCATTTAATTAATTAACAATGTAGAGTTTTATGGTCTTTATGGTTACATTTTGTGGTTAATGACATTCTTCTTATAGCCTCTTAACACAGAATTGCCTGACAAAATGAGCTTTTTTGTCCAGTAGTAGGTATTCCACCCTAGGATGAGTATTTCCTTTTTACAGAAATAGATGAAACATCTTTTATTTTGAGTTGCAAAGTCTATTTTAAATGGTAACTGCATGCTAAAAGTGGCGCTGAATACGGCAGCTGCTTCTGCTACCTTTTTCCATCTGCTAATTTGCCTGGCAGGGTGGTCTGCTTTGAAGGAAAATTCATAGCTCCGGAGTATAATTTTGCATGGCCCTTTTCTTATGGGCTTGAGCATGTGCAGGGTAAAGAGCATCCGTTCTGGGCCGATTTTTGGCCCTTGGGCTGATTAGCAGGAGCGTCCAGAGCCCCTGTTTGGTGAGGGATGGGACTGTGGGGGTCCTGTGTGAAACCAGTGGGTGCATCCCCCATGGCATTGGAGGGGATGCTCTGGAGCCTGGGACAGGCAGCTCATTAGCTCTCAGCTCTAGGCTGGTTGGTGAGGGCCTGCTAAAAGAGCAGCTTCATGCTGTATCCTGGATACCAGCTCTTGAGTCAGGTGTACCCAGAGCACAGATTATTGCGGGCTTTCTGGTTTATTTTGAAACGGGAGGAATAAATGCAGTGTGCCCGACGTGGTTTTATTCTCTTGGTTTGGCAAAACAAGCACTCGCCCCCCTCCGTGCCGTATCTGGCTTTGCAAGGATGTCACTCAAATGCAAAATTAACGGTTTACCACTAATCTGGGAACGTGGGGGCTGTTTTATGCATGGAGCTTTTCTTAGAAATGTGTTTTGTTTTGTTTTACCTTCTTTTGCATCTGGCACGAGTCGAGGAAGACTTGCACCATCCTAAATTTTTGGTTGAGTGATGGAGCAGTCATTGTTCCAAGGCTGCACGGCAGCGCAGAGCTGGGTCTGGCCCAGGCTCTGGAGCGTGGTGTATTTGACTGCAAGATGAATTGTGTTAAATTCACATGGCTTCCTGCGGCGCCGGGCTCGTTATTGGAACCTGGCGCCTGCCTTTACTTCTGCATGCAGAAAACTGGGGTGGGTGAAAATGGGATTTCCCCAGTCTCGATAGAGCCAGGCTGGGTTTTGTTTGCTGATAGCAAACCATCCTTTGTGTGTCTTAAATGTGTTTTGTTTCGGGTCATGCACTTTTTCTTTTAAAATCAAACTGACGTTGGCTGTGCTGCTGTTGCTCTCGCAGAATTTTCTGTTAAAAAAATGCAGATGTAAGAGTAACAACCTTCCCACTAGCTTTACGTGTAGAAGTTCTCAGAAGTGGAACACTGAGTTTTGTCTGTGAAATTTTTATGTTCTCCCTCTGTGACAGTTCTGATGTTGGGGGTTACAGGGTCCTGCAAGGCATGGAGCTCTTGGTGTCACTTGCCCAAATTAGCCTGCTCAGGGAAGTCTCTGCTGTGTCTCCTGGGCATACAGGACTGTCAACAGACCCCCTTTTATTTTCCTTTTGACTGACCAATCTCATAAAGGGTAACTTAACCTATCTTAGGGATTTTGTCTTCAATGCACTTTCCCCCGCTTTTTTCCTTCAAGCAGAGCGGTTTGCACGTTGACACGACAATAAATAACTCGATGCTCATCTGTTTTCCTTCCTGCTTCCAGGAAGTGGTTCTGTACTGTTTGGAAAACAAGGCGTGCGACGTGAATCATCGAGACAACGCGGGTTACTGCGCCCTGCACGAGGCCTGTGCCAGGGGCTGGCTGAGCATCGTGCGGCATCTCCTGGAGTACGGCGCGGACGTGAACTGCAGCGCTCAGGATGGGACCAGGTGAGCAGCACCCTCTGCTCTCTGCCTCCCCTTTATCCCACCCCAAAACACTGGAAGCAGGTAGGGCTGCCTTGCTGCTGGTCCTTGGGCAGGGGCGTGCAGGGCTCAGTGTCCTCCTCTGCTCCCTGGTTAATAAAGCAGTGGGGACACGCTTCTGTTGGCACTAGAGTTCAGGGTAATTTCTTCTTTTTTTTTTTTTTCTCTTCTGGGAATTTTAATAAGTTGTGCTTTGGTTGGTTTTTGTTAGCGGAATTGCCAGCTGCAGGGCAGGAAGGAGTGATACTTGAGCTGCAGCCCTGCTCATGTGCCCTCCAGCTCCTTTGAGCTGTGCCAAAAGAGTGGAGTTAGCCTTGTTAGCAGGGTTACTTTTGAGAGCACTTCAGGCTTTTGTGGCGATCGGGTGTGCGAGTTCTGTATATGCTGTATAAAAATGTTGTTTGCTGAACTGTTAAACTATCTACCTATGTGATATTTTGGGTTTACGTTTTTTTTTCTTTTTCTAATCCCGAATTAGCCTTTTTGTTCGTTTCCTTCACAGAATAGAGGGGTGCTTAGTTCCTGTGCTGGCAGAATAGATAGTGAGCTTTTGTTTTTAGCTTTGTGGAGAAAAAAAATGCTGCTCTGAACCTTGTTTTTAAGCTTCTTGTGTATCTCCTAAAGCGCCTCTTTGACCACCTCTGCGAGGCTGACCTTGGGGTAACTTGTCCTGAGCATATGCAGAGCTGTTATTCAGTCTGTGCATTTTGGGGACAGGTCGCTTTGTATTCTTCGAATCTCCTGCAGCTTGTTATCTTAAATGGTTTATCGCCTTCCCTATCACCATCCAAATAGCCAGGGAGGTAAAATTAGCGTAACTAAGAGCCTGCTTCTTTTGTTTTTAAGCTCTTTATTTATTAACTTGGGAAGGGAGGAGTCTGGAAAACAAAAAGGGGTCTGGTTAGGATGGTCCATTAAAAGTTCATGATGGTCCATTGTTCCCGGCCCATCACCAGCCCATCACAGCCCAAAGGAAAGCTTTTTGGAGAAACATTAAAACCCCGACTGGATTGTCAGATTCCTCCTCTGTCGCCCACGTCTTTGTAAGAGTTCTGAGCTCTCCAGGCTGACAAACAGCCTCGCATTTTCTGCTGCCTTCAGCTTTTGTATGTGACCTGTGAAACAGCGGTGAGTTACCGCAAAAAGAATCCTAAATTATTTTTGTCTCACTCGCTGGAATAACCTATATAGAAAAATTATCCCTGGGAAGTGTCTGAGCAGTCTTAATCACCCGCCAGTTCAGAGTCCACCTTTGATCTCTAGTCACAGATGGAGCAGATTTTCAAGAAAAAACTTGGCCAGTGTACCCTGAAAAGTTGTTTTTGGGAAAATGGATTTAAGAAATGAACATAATGATGATCTGATCATAGATGGTAATGTCAGAATTCAGCGTGCTGTTGCCTCTCTTTTCTGAGGGCAGACTTACTTTTTGTTTGGAAAGCTGCCAACAGACAGCAAGAGTCCAGAACACAGCTACTACACAGAGGAAAGATGGTCTGAGTTGGGCAGGACAGAGAGCAGAAGCTTCTGTGAGGAGCTTTGGATCTGTGTAATGCACACTGCCTTTTGGCAGGATCAGACTGCTCTGTCTCTGCAGAGTAACTCGGGACATTCGTAAGACAGGTCCCATTTCTCTCTTGAAGGTTTTCCTCCTTTAACTTAGAAGGAAAGATGTGTCAGTCTTCCTCAGCTGTGTGGCTTTTAAAATTAAAATCCAAAACATGTTCAACCCTTAGAAATACACCGAAGCCTTAAAATTAACAACAAAAAACCTCCAAAACAAAACTCAAAAAGCACACCATCAGAGACTTGTCCTTCTCCCCTACTTTTCTGGCGACTCTGAATTTGCTTTTTATTTTCCCCTCTGCCACCTCACTTATCCAAAGGTACTTTTGGTGGTGCAGTGGAAGCTCTGGAGCCCGCAGACCGTGGCGGTGGATGTGTGTGGTTCTGTTCAGGCTGTTAATGTGAAGCAGCACAGAGGAGTGATGTAACTGTGATGCAGCTGCGTGTGCTGTGCCAGCACAGCTGTGCTGGTGAGGCAGCTTGGGGGGTCACCTGCAGCTCTGGGCTCTGTTCCTTGCTGCTTCTGCCACCAGCTTTTTGGGGGACACTCTGAAAAGTTGTGAGGACATGGGTTTGGTCTGTGCAGGATGTCCGTGGGAGTGTGAAGGATGCAGGAAAGTTCTGTGAAGTCTGTGCATCTCTCGGTCCTGGCTGATCATCGTGCTGGCGCTGCTGTGCGTGTTTTGGGATGAGGCAGGCGTTCAGCCTCTGGTTCCTGAAGGTAGCAGAAATCTCGGTGACGCCAGAAACAAACAAAGCGCCAGACTGGTGCAGGGGCAGTGAGGAGACAAAGTTTGGGGGGTAGGAATGGTGCAGCCCTTCCCTTCACCCCAGCTCTGCGCAGGATGTGCCCCTCTGCCCTATTCACAGCACATCTGGCCAGGCTAAATGTGGTAGGTCTTGGATGTTTTTCCCCTTAAACTCGAGGCTGATAGACCACATGCAGTGCCTGCAGACCCTGAATACACAAGCACTCTGCTGCTCAATTAGTGCCTAATCAAAGATTATTGTAGAACCCGGAGATCTTTAAGACCTGTCTCCGAGGTGCTGCAGTCACTAAGGGCTCTTAATCGTCTTACCTATAAATAATAATAGACCGTGCTTAAGAGGTGAGAGCTTCCCTTCCCCGACAGGACCCCAGTAAGTGCAGTTGCTCCACTAGGGGTGTTGGAACTGACATTAGCAAGGCTGTTTGCCGCGTGTATTTGGCTTTATCTCGCTGTTCTTCTCCTCTTACCTCTGCAAAATGCCCTAGCTGAACCCTTGCCATTATCGAAACAAAACCACATGCCAAAAATACAGACATCCCCTGCCTGTTCGTTGCTTCAGAGTTCGCTCGCTGGATTCTCTCTCTGCAGCCACTTTTGCTGTATCCTCCCCGCTGGCAGCTGATGAGCTCAGCCTTTTTTTTATTTATTTTTTTTTTTCCCTGCGAGGACCATGCCAAGATGGCTCTCTTCCTGTGTCCTTTCAGCTGGTCTTGGCAGAGCCATACCTTCCAGCAGCTGATTGCGTTACAGAAGAGGCAGCCTGCGGAGCTGCCCTCCTGCAGCTCCTGCCTTGCCTCTTCCGTGGGGCAGCCTTGTGGAGCAGAGCGGGTGGAAATAAAAACAAAACGCCAAAAATAATGGCATTGCCCGGCGACTTGCAACACCTCTTACTGCAGTGAGGAGAGTTCTGGTGGTGCCTGAAAGGCTGAGAGCAATCCCAGACTGGTCTAAATAGTTTATCATTTTGGTGGTGGAATGATAAACCCCCAGTGATATGTTTTCCTAACTCTAGTGGCAGTAAAAATAGTAGGAAGGATTCAGCAGTACACAAGAGAGGGTTGAGATGCGTGTCTTTTGTAGGATATTGCAGCTCTCGAATGTCTCCAGCTCCTTCTGGGGCCTTTTGAAGGGTTTGTTTTAGAAACGAGCTGTGCTAGGTTAACTGTACCATTAGGGATGGAGAGTGTTTATTTCCACGGTGCTCAGGGTGGAAGAGATTGTATGGCAGAGCAGCCCAGGAGAGGACTCCCAGGGATCTTCTTTTATTTTCACATCTGAAAAAGTTGCCTATTCCAGTAGTTGCTTTTGCATCCTACAAAGAGGATGGTTAAACTCTGCCAAGACTGAAGAATACTCCCTCCTTTGCTGGCCCTGCTGGGAGAAGCAAACAAATAGCTGTGCCTTTGCACGGTCTCGCTCGTGAGCTTGCCAAGAAGCTGTTCTAGCCAGTAAAAGAGTCTGTCAGTGCTCTGTTTTGGCCTTTCCTCCCTTAACTTATCTATGGGGAATCTCCTTCCCCGCCCACCCCCCCATCCCCGGCAGTGTTTTCTTTGCTTCCTTCTATTTATTGTTCTTCCTTCTTCCGCACTGCCTTACTACGCCTTTCCTTCCCCATGCCTCTGTAAATTCCCCTCTCATGCCCAGGCAGCCTCCCTGTGTACTCTCAGATGATGAATCTGGTTCTGCCTGCCTCGCTACCTGCCCTGCTGCCTCTGTCTGCAGCACCACGTTGGGCTTGACCTGTAAAGAGGCAGAAGGAGGTTCCATCACAGGATTACAGCCCATGTGCTGCAATTTTTCCTTCCTGGGGAATGCCCAGGCACCCTTTAATAAACTCGTCTGAGTGTCGTTAAATCAATTGAAACACTGGGCGGTGATTTAGATGCTGTTTTTAATAAGTTAAGGGATCATCTTGAATTCATTACTGCTTCAAAAGCCACTTAGGTAAGTCAGTTTTAAAAAAACCCCAAGCACAAACAAGAAAACCCACAAACCAATAATTCCACAACACTCCTCAACCCCCTCCCAAAACCAGAAAATCGTAATTCTGAAATAAGATTTCAAAAGAGTTCCAAATTAAAGACTCCAGTAAAGCGAAGGGGTGGGGGGGAAGGAGCATTGCCAGCACTCGGCGACAGCTCTGATCTGCTCCTGCTGCCTGTTGCCAGACTTTCAGCCAGGGATGCTTCATGCCCAGTGGGGGACAGGAGGGTTTGCAGCAAGGCTGACCTTTCCTGCTGTAGATGCTCAGAGTGCCATGACCCAGCAGCTCAGGCCTCAGATGCTTGCTGACAGCAAGAAACACCAGATACTTCTGCAGCCTCCGTGTCGGCACCTCTGTTATTTGTTGCCTCCTGCTTGGTGTCACTGGGATGTGACGCTGCGATGTAGCACTGATCAGATCCTGGATGTCACACTTCCCTGGGGGAAGCACTGAGTCGGTAGGTGGAGGTGGGAGGGTGAGACTTGCAGGGGAATCCGGGGGAATGTTGGCTCCTCCAACACTCTCTGTCTCAAAGGCATCAGTTTCAGTGTTATTGTAGAGGCGTTCCATCAGAAACTGAGAAGGGATATCCTGACCCTTTGCCTGTGATCCTCATGGACCTCTCTAGTCTTAAAATGTGAAGGTGGCTTTCCAGTGAGTGGTATGGTGGGATTTGAAGGCATCCACATGATGTGCTGGATGGTCTGAGGATTGGCACAAGCTGGACTGAGGACTGTGCTCAGCAGCTCGAGGACCTGTTTCTTCACTCTGTTGGTGGCATGGGGTGTTTGGGAGGCAGGCAGCATGGGATAAGCCCTCTTTCCGTAGGGAACAAACCAGCAAGTCCCCAAGTGCACCTCCTCAAGTCAGTATATTGTACTCAAAACTGATAAGACATGCAGCTTTCCAGCAAGATGGACACAAGCAAGAACCCTTCACATGTAGCTGTTAGTCACCGTAAATCGTGGTCTTTTGGAAAGTACTTGGAGCAAATCCAGATGTGTGGGAACATCTTTCTGAGACTTACCAGTCACCCTCCTCCCCCTCCTACCAGCAATGCTGTGTGATAGATGGGAAAACCATGGTGTGCCATCCTCTGCTGACTGATTTGATCCTCCCCTCCTTTGTCCTGAGCTTTTGTGTGTACCAGGTCATGCCAAAGCAGTGGTGACTCGGAGGGGACATGGCCCTGAGAGGCAGGAGTGCTGGGATGTGACAGGAGGGAGCTGAAGCCCTGGTTGTCAGCTGAGCACTACTTGGCAGATGGGGAGACAGAGCAGAGAGGTTCACTTGGCTGTGCTTCCAAATGACTTCCCTGGTAACTTCTTTGTGAAAGCTTTCCAGGAAGGCAGTGTGTGATCCTGCTTAAAGTCCTTCCTTGCCTTTTCATACAAGCTCCCTGAGGGCTTTGACAGCCTTGTTGGGGGGCAGCAGTGTTGACAGCCCAAAGGAGGGGCACTGTGCTGAGTTGGACTGCCATGATCAGTGTCCACGCATTGGACTCTGCTTTTAGTTCCTTGCTCTTGCTGTCTAGGGAAAAGATGGGATTTTAGCACATCTTCATTAGTCTGAAGGGTAATATGTTCTACTTCCAGACAACTTCCCGTTACGTATAATCAATTTTAAAGGCAGAAGTTAATGCGATTTATAATTAGCGATAAGGAATTCTAAACCTGGAATTGCAGGCCCTGTGTATTAATGAATAATCCTTCTGAAGGCTCACAAAATCTATGTGGAGCTTGTATAGATTGCTCACGCCGCATGAAATGCTTTAATTTCTGGGTGGACTACACTTAAAATAACATGTTTTTTCTATTCTCTGATTAGAAGGGTTGAATTGTGCTGCAAATATATTTACAAGTACTGTTTAAAGAGGATGTTCTGCACGGAAGTTTAATTCCAAGCAAATTTTCATAACTTATTTCTGTGTACATAATTTAGGAGCTTTGGGTAACTGATTTCCTTGCTTGCCCAGAGGCAGGCTGAATGAGCCTTGCTCCACAGCACGCTGTTATATGGCAGAGATTTGGAACGGTAGAGTGACTTGCAGCAAAATGATGTTTGTGAGGCTTCACACAAACTCCTGCTTTCTGTTACAGCAGTGTAATTATTTTACTGTCCCTCAAAAATGTGTACAGCAAGGAGTAGACCTAACAGACGTATGTGCCCTGAGCAGTCTGACTGAAGACAAGAGGGGAGGGGGATGATGTGCAAGTAAAACCGATAATAAAATGATTGGCAGCTGTATTAATAGTGTTAACTTTCTATAAATAGCTTTGATCTACAGTCAGAAGTTTCTTGTCAAAAATATTTGCATAATACTGTTGAGTCAAAATGTAAGGCCGTGTTTTTTGTTTTATTTCACACCAGACCAATCCACGACGCGGTCGAAAACGACCACTTGGAAATTGTCCGCCTGTTACTGTCCTATGGTGCTGATCCAACACTTGCAACCTACTCTGGGAGGACCATTGTGAAAATGACCCACAGTGAGCTCATGGAGACCTTCCTCACAGGTCTGTGCCCACACCGCCTGGGTCTTTCTGGTCCTGGCAGATGGGGGCTTGTTCCCTGTCCCCCAAAGCCCCTCCTGCCTGGCAGGGGTGACTTCATGCCAAGGAGCTGTGGGGTGGGATGGGCTGGGCTGCTGTAGCTCCCTCTTTGCCTGCAAAAACCCAGAGGTTGCAGGTGGGAAGCACAGCCATGCTTGGGGGCTCCTTCTAATTGAAACTCTTAATAAGTCATAAGGATTATTCCACTGTCAGATTTGATGGGTGGGTAGGAGGTCAGCGGGCTGTTTCGGTGCCTTCAGTTTTCTGCTTGAAATGAAAATAAGAAACTTGCCAATTCAAATAGCTGTTTGTTAAGCATACTCATGTTTTCCCATGGTCTTGCTTTTTATCTTAGACTATTTTTGGTTTTGCCAGTTCTGCCTTGTTTTACATCTGAAATACTGTAAAAACACATTAAAGGCCCTTGTCTTTAAACATATCCATGTTGTAACATGGTTTTAGGGTTCTTTTTCCTCTTTAATTTTGGATTAAGACACTTGCATTCCCTAATGACTTACCTCTGAGCATGTTTGCAGTGCTCATAGTCCATGAGTTTAAGTACTCACCTGTTTACCTGTTTAAATGGTGCAGTATAGAAGGCACACAGACGTTTTAGAACTCCAGTAAAGTCCAGTATCTTTGAATTCTAGCATCCTGGATCCCAGTAATTTTTCACCAATTCAACTTGTAAATCTCCCAGATTATATCTGCAGAAAATAACTACATCTTCTGAACATACCTGTGTGAAAAAATCTTTTTAATCTCTTTGTTTGGGGCCACAGTTTCACCCTCAAGTTAGTGTCCAGAATAATTGTGAAGGCCAAAAAATGCGGTACACCCTGTCTTCACAAAAATAAAATACTTCCCTCAGTATCTGAAGCTTCATGTTGGGCCTGTCCCTGTTAGACCTTAAGTGGTTATTTGATGTGGTGGGTCATTATTTGATGTGGGGGAATGGTGTATGTAGCTGTTGTTTGTAGCACGTGTGCCAGGAGTACGGTGTGGGATTTTTTGATGGAAGGTGTTGAGTCTCTGTGACGCGCCGCCGTCTCCTGACTTGCCAGCTTTTTGTTCTCATCAGTATGTTTTTGTTGTTGTTTTTTCCTCTCCAGAGTATTTAACTGACCTGCAAGGTCGAAGTGTTGATGACCCTGGTTTGTACTGGGATTTCTATGGCAGCTCTGTGTGCGGTGAGCAAATGTTGCCCTTTATTTCTTTGTATGCAGAGACTTTAAAAACATGGGGCACGTGGGGGTGGGGGCTGTTTTGTTCTTGTGGTGGAGGAAGCTAGGAAGGAAGCAAACTGATTTTGTTTGCAGATCACGTTATTGGGGGGAAAAAAAGCAAGACCTGCAACAATCTTTTTATTGCTGACTTAGCACCTTTATTCAATTTTATTTAGATCCAAAAGATGAATCTGGATTTGATGTCTTGGCAAATCCTCCTGGCCCAGGTGATGAAGATGAAGATGGCTTCAGTGATGTGTTTGAATTTGAATTTTTGGATGAGCCTCCCTTACCGTGTTACAACATTCAAGTGTGTCTCTCTCAGGGGTAAGAACAAATACAGATTTTGGGGCAAAAAGCGCTATGATGATCTGCTTGGGCTGGTAGCAATTTGTGTTGGCAGGGAAAAGTGTTTGTATTTATATAACATAAATGAGAGATCAATACTGTAACTGCTGCTGTTTTTTATGGAAATAAACTAATAGGAGGTGAGAGGGGAAAAGGCTGGTTTGTCAGGACTGAGTTTTTACTGCCGTATTCCAGAGCAGGACAAGTGATGTTTGAACACAAAATCCTTTCCTCATCCCAGACAGGCATCTTGTTTATAACTTCTCAAAATAGAAGTGCTTCTAGCACTTAAATTTGGGTATGATGTTTGTACGGTATTAATTCTATTTCATGAGCTTTTCTGTTCTGCTGCTGAGTGGACATGCTTTTCTGGATGACAGAATGACACCATTACTGCTTTTCTAGACTTTGTAGCAAAAGTGATTTAAAGCTCTGAATTGGAGCAAACAAGTATCTTAGGGAAGATCCTGTGATAATAATAAGCAAAGACCTGGAAAGTCGAATTATCTATTATATTCAAGATATAAATTAGATTTGTTAGCAACTGTTGTTTACCATTTGCACCAATTTTGATGTGATGGCAGCTAGTTTTAAGTATTGATCATGTAGGAGTGTGGGTTTAATATGTTTTTTTTACATGGGCGATGGATCTAACTTAATTCCCTGAAGTGGACAACTATAAAGATTGAATTTTAAAACAGTTTCGTTTATCTGACAAAAAACCAACTTACTGTTGACTTCTATTTAATATTGGCCTCTCTGGTAGTCAGGAGTGCTGAATTTTGTAGTTGTAACTATAAGCCATATCCTTATTTATGAAATGAAAGTTGGGTTTAGGTGGGCTTAAGCTTTAGGTGTTGGAGTTGGGGTGGCTGTTGGCCCACATGGGCACTGTGAAGCCCAGGTTTCATAGGTCCCCTGCATCCTGGATCTTCCCAAAGCTGCAGGCAGTAGTACTCTGAATAAATACATACACACCTGCTCATCTGTTATTTTCGACCCTTGGGCAACAGCCTTGATTTTGGAGGATTGTTTTGGGGTGGGATCGGGGAGGGGTTGTCACACAGTGCTGTGGGGAAGAGTCAGGAATCCTGTGACTCAATGTCAGTCACTGGAGCCTCTTTCTCCTTTGCCTCCACAGACCACGGAACTGGCTTCTGCTCTCGGACGTGGTGAAGAGGCTAAAAATGTCATCGCGCATCTTTCGCTGCAACTTCCCCAACCTGGAAGTCGTCACCATCACGGAGGCAGAGTTTTATAAACAGACTTCCCTCAGCCAGTTGTTCTCTTGTGCTACGGACCTTGAAGCTTTTAACCCAGAGAGCAAAGAGCTCTTGGACTTGGTGGAGTTCACAAGCGAGCTCAAGACTCTGCTGGGCTCCGAGCTTCACTGGCTGCACCCGCACGAGGACCCTCCCTTCGACATCCTCTGGTGAACCTTCAGCCCTTTAATGTACAGTGCTCTATACAGCTACTTCTTTATGTATATGTGTTCAAATGAATTGTTTCTGTAAAGAAAGGACACTATTAAATATGAAAATATCTTTCCTTTATATAAGAGATCTGAATTCCAGTTGGATGGATTTTGGAAGAATTTTTTTTTAACTTCAATCGGTTTTTACAGAAATTGTTATATAATGTTTCTTTAAATGCACACAGGCTTTGGGATAAGTTTGTTATTACTCGGAACACTTTTTTTTTTAAAGAACACACCCACACACATTGACTTTGTTTCATGCAAAGCACTGATTACACAGAACATACTTTTTCTAGGTGATGTGATCAAAGTCGTGTGGCTTGTTTGGGAGATAGAATTCGGTAAGGCACTTGGTGATATTATTTTTCGGTTTTTTTGTTTACAGAATTACCTGCTTTGGCCAGGTAAGCACTATTGAATATAATTCAATAGTTTGTAATATAAATTAAACCATATCCATACGCAACAACTAATTGTAAGAACTTTTATATCCTAATTTAAAAGCTGTGAAATTTAGTTTTCACACATCAAACCGGATTGTTTATATATGTTTAAACATTTTATGCTCTTTATTTAAAGAAGACTTTGAACTATTTTTTCTGTACCTTGTAAAATATTGAAAAACTAACATATGTTGAAGTTGCTTGAAACTGTACATAAACTAAATTTTCTGAATTGTGTGTTTATGTTTGAGATCTGTGTTTTAACTTTGTAAGTAAATCTTCTGCCTTTGTATTTATATTTTACAAAAATTTTCTTAAAGGCAATAAAACTTGAGAAATGAAGAGGCTAAAGTGACTCCCATTAACTCCTTTGCCTGGTTGTGACATGACCTTCATTTTATTAATTTTCATTAAAGGAGGGTGTAGTTTCCAAAGTGGGGCAGGACTGGTAGAGGTGCAGGCAAGCAGCTGATGAAATCTGGGGTACACTCTGTGTTGGCTTTCTAAATTCCATGTTGCAAGAAAACATCAGGTTTGTGCTTTTAGTGGGACAAGGGTTTAAAAGTGGTGTTCACAATACCTAACTGTGAATAGGTTCCATCATTTTCCCTCCTTTGACATCCTTTTAATTTCAATTGGCTGAATTATCTTTTCAATGGGGTCTGCAGAGTGGGAGTTAATAGCACCAGGGGAGATGCTTTGGTTTTAATGTGGAGTATTAAACCTATGAGCACATTTTGGGAGGATTTAAAGGGACAAGAGCCAGAATGTCACTTCTGTGCAGCTCTGGAATTTCTGTCTAAGAGGCTGATCTCTCTGGGCTTGGGCAAACTTTCTCTGCCTTCCCTTTCTGGAAGGAAATTCTAGCTGTGATCTCAAACTCATGAGGTTTAATTAGGGCTGTTATTAGGAGTAGTATGTCTTAGGATAGCCAATTGCCACTGAGGTGTTTAAACTGCTCTGCTCTTGTGGTGGGGGCCAGCACCCCACCCAAAGGGTCGTGAAAAGCATCTGGGAAGAAGTTTCTGCACTGTCCTGGAGGCTGAAGGTAAGGGAGAGCTGTGCTTCACTTCTGAAGGTGCCCTGGAGGGGAAGACTCAGAGCTGCTGCCTCGTGGTGTGCTGCCCGTGAGTCTTTTGCCAAACATTTCTACGGTGTGGCTTTACAGTGGGGCTGTTCCTGTGGGTTAGGTGGTTTTGTAGCTGAGCCAAGAGGTGAGAGAAGGGTCCAAAAGCTGGCTGCTGCTGGATGCTGAAGTCTTATTTCCACACAGGACGGGGAATTTTTAATCCTAACACGTCTGCCAACCTCCTTTTTCCAGACTTGGGATAAGGAGGATGATGGTCTCTCCTGCACAGCTTTTATGTGCATGCTGGATTTCCATTTCAAACAGTCTCCTGCATTGCAAGGAACTGAAACACAGACACCCCTACTCTCCAGTGCCATCTGCTTGCACCCCCTGATTTTCCCAGAAAGAAGGGGGGCAGAAAATGAAAGGCAAGGAACACTAAAAGCAGTTGTGTAAAGCTTGGATGGCTTGAGCTGGGTATAAATCAGTTCTGTGCTGCTTCCTGGGGTGTGTGACGCCTCAAGTCTCCCCGAGCCCCCCGGGCAAACAAAGGATTGTCATGGCTTCCTCTTGAGAATCCCTGAGCCCCTGCTCCTGAGCATCTCTGCTCAGTCAGCTTTCCCTGCCTCCACTGGGTACAGTTGGGTCTTCTCCATGTGGCTCCTGCCTGGTGCTCCAATACAGCAGCAGCCTCATGCCTCTGTAATGCGAGTGTGTGTGCCTGTGATCCAAAAATAGGGTCATGGCAGGGGACACCTGATCCCAGCGCTGTCCCTTGACATAACACAACCCTTTTATACTCTGGGATGTGCTTTTTTAAAGGGGCTTCGCTGTGTGGGGGTGCTTGAGGGAGCACAGAGAAGCAGGAGGAGGCAGGAACTTGGCTTGGCTGCCCCTGTGCTGGGTGGTTTGGGAGAGATTGTCACAGGAGAGGCTGGATGCAGGTGGGATTTTGTGGGAGGCAAGTCCATCTCTCCTTGGGAGAGGAGAGATGGCAGTGTGCCAGTGTGGACAAGGGAGTGAAGCACTGGGACACTGGAGCCTGCAGGGCACGGAGCTTGGGGGCTGTGTTCAGCAGTTCAGTTTCTGATCTCACACCGTTCTCCTTCAAAGTGCTTTCCTGTGCATCCTGCTTGGGCCAAACATGCTTGCTTCACACTGCTGGCTTTGCTCCAGGTTAATAAAAACATAAGGAAATGGAAATGCAGCCTTTGGGGATGGTAAAACCCTGCTGATCCTGTTACTTGCCTTCTGCAAGGTGAAAGCGCAGTGTTGATGCTGTTGGGGACAAAGCCAAGGTGCTTCCTTGAATTTCCCCTGCTTACCACTTGGATTTGCCTGGCTGGGAGTCTGTGCTGCCCTGTGGAGGTGCTGGACAACCAATGGTGCAATAGGGAAAAACCCTATTTCCAGCTAGAGCAGGCAGATGAGCTTCTTCAAAGAGGTTCCTTTGTCAAACTTTGACTTGTTGCTGGCTGGGAAATCCCAGGGAATACCCATTTCCAGGCTGGCTGCCTGGCAGGGAGGTTGAGGGGAACCACAGCACAGGCAGGGCTGGGAGGGTTCCCCTGAGATAAGCAGTGCTGCTGAGGACCAAAATATTGAACTCCTCCTTTGCCTTCCTGCCTTACCCAAGAGCTCTGCAGAGGGGGGTCAGCCCTGGGAGTTTCCTGTTTGGGTAATTTCTCCCTTCAGCCACTCTTCTTATTTCTTCTGCTTTGCTGTGGTGGCTGAGCTGGAGCCTTGTGCCAGACACAGTGATGCAGAGTGGCAAGCAAGGGTCAGAGGAAGGGTGGATGTGGTGCTTAGGCACATGGCTCAGTAGTGGACTTATCAGTGCTGGGGTAACATTTGGTCTTGATGAATCTTGGAGGTCTTTCCCAACCTTAATGTTTCTATGGTTTTAGTTAGCAGGAGCAGAATGGAAATGATTTTAAAAACTACTCCCAGGAGCCAAGCTCACTCCATGAATCAAAAGAGTTTGAAGCTGGCTCCTCCCTTAATTTCTGTGCTAAATAATGAAACTATAGATGAGACCCATCATTTGAGCATTAATGTATCAGGGAGTGGTAAGTGCAGGCAGCTGCCATTCCCAGGCTCTGTGGGCTGCTGGTAAGCATTCAGCATCATCAGTTTTGCACAGGGAGAAGGCACACATTATTGTTTTAAACTTGCACAGATGCAAGGCAACTGGAAAAATAGCATTTTATCTGTTAAAATTGTTTTGCAGAACATATTTTCATTTCATTATGATGCCAGTGGTGGTAGGAGAGTGCTTTGGCACCACCACACGAGGCAGGAGAGTTGAATGCCATAATTGTAAAGATACAGATCTTTTCTCAGTGTGCATTTCTGTTAGAAGGAGGAGCAGAAGAAGGTGACAGGAACCCAGGTTTCACTTGGAGTGGTGGTCAGGGGCAAAAATCTCCAAAGAGATCTGAAGAAGACGAAGTTTTAAGTATCCCACCATGATGTCTACCTGCATCAGTCTTGCTAGTTCTGCCTTTGCTCCATTAGTGTGGTTTGCATGGGCTTCCCCATGGCGTGGTGCAGAGACTGTTTTCCTGCAAATGCAGGGTGATGGATCCTTAGGAGCAGCACTGCCTCCTGCCCTTGGGGTGAAGAGAGCCACTGCTTGTTCCAGGTTTGCCAGTCCTGAAGAAAGCCCCGTCCATGCCATGTGCACATTTTCCTCCAGCAGACTGACTGACTGTAGATGGTTGCTCTCTTGAGCCAGGTAGGAACCACAAATCTGTCACTAAATAGATTTTCCTTTTGTTGTCACATTAATTTGCAACTCATTAATAGTGACAGCAGTGAGGTACTGCATGGATGCAGATTTGCATATTCATGGTTAACTTATTATTAAACAAATAAGATTTCCCTAGCTTAGGGAAAGTACCAGAGTAATGCCACATTGTGCATTATAACAGCCTGAATGTTTTATTTTCTTTTTAATATGTTAATAGATGCAAGGGGCGCTCTTTTTTAAAGTAAATGTGCATCTATAAAATAACGTGTAATTTAAAATATCACAATTGTTTAAATAGTAATCTCCTAACAAACCTGCCAATAATTGAACACAAATACCTATTTAATGCACAAATCAATTAATCAATTCTAAATGCTGGCTTTGTTGCCTGATGACCGTAACAGAGGCAGTACCAGCAAGGCACAGCCAAGCACTCTGCTGGCGAGGTGACCCAGAGGTGGAGAGCTGATCTCGTGTTTTATGGCTCATTACAGTTAAATTGGTTGGTTCTCACAGTCGCTTTTGTTTCTTCTCCCCAGAGGAGTGGTGGGAGAGAAAGTGAGGACTGAGCTCGCTGTGGTGCCCACTGCCACCCTCCTGTCCTGTTGGGCATGGCTGAGGAAAACGTGGCCATGCCAGCTCTGCAGGGACCTCCCTGCTCCCCCTTCTCCCTGCCAGCAGGCAGCCACCACCTGGACCTACCAGCTGGACACCAGCTTTGGCTCAGCCCTGGTGAGGAGGAGGGTAGACCTGTGCTCCCAGCATGGCAGTGGGCAGCAAACTCCCCTGGCACCGTGGGTTTCTTCCCCTGTGCTGAAGGAACCGTGGTGAAAAGCCCTTGGAATTCAACAGGCACTCAAAACCTGCAGGTGAGAGGAGTGGGAGATGTGGAATGTGGGGCTGTCCTGCAGGCAGGTGTTCTAATTCACTTGCTGGTAACAGCAAAGGTACTTTGCCCTCGAGGTAGCACAACTTTTTTCTACTGAGCTCTTCAAGACTATCCAGTATGTACAGCAACCCCCTCTTTGGATCCCTACTGCTGCATCCATAGTTTTCATTCTTTTCGGGCTCTTTAAAAATTTGTAGGGTAGTGGGCATAATTACATGTGAGGAAACCAGCTGGTTATTGCAGTTCCCCTCAGTCCTGAAGTGAGGTTTTTCCCTGACCTGACTTTCCAGAGTCCTTTGACGGTGTTGCTGAACCACAAAATGTGGTTCTTACCCCATCCTGCTGTTTCCTTGTGAGTCACAAGCCACCCCCTTTGAACCACTGGCCTGTGCTCCCAGCCTCCCCAGGCTCTGGAGCTCCTGTTTCTGGCCAATTGCAAAGGGCCCTGAAGAGACACAGATAAAACCAGGGATGCTGAAATGCAGCCATAATTCACCCCAAAGACTCTATCCCTGCAGGTGCAGAGCAGGGTGAGGCTGTTTTTACAACCTGTGTGCAGCAAGCTCAGAGCGCCCTTCTCCAACAGGGGATAATTTCATTTTCTGATGTGGGATCTGCTTTCATCTTCATCTCCTGGCT